CAACCCTCGCTGATCAGCCTTATAATAATTCTGCTTAGAACATCAGCTATAAGTGTGAAAACAAAGGGAGAGAGGATCTCCTTGTCTTAACCCACGTTTAGATGGAAAGAAATCCACTACTGTGCCATTGACTAAGATAGAGTAGTGACAAGATCTTAAGAACCCCCAAATCCATTTGCACCATCTCTCACCAAACCCACATTACCTTAAAACCTTGATTAAGTCCAATCAACTAAGCCATAGGCTTTTTCCAAGTCCAACTTGCAAATTAATCCTTTTTTCTTTAATATCTTCATTTCCTTAACACATTCATTAGCAATTAAGATTTGATCAGTGATTTGCCTATCTTGGACAAAAGCCCCTTGATTGGAAGTTACAAGGGAGGGGAGGACTTCCCGGATTCTTAGAGCCAAGACCTTAGCTAGAATTTTGTACAAGCTATTCACCAAGCTGGTGGGTCTAAAGTCTTTTGGGTGACTAGCTCCACTTCTAACCTAGTTGGTTATAGTTGGGTGTTCCCGGAGAGGGTGGTTGACATCTTGTGGCAATGGCAAGGCAGAGAGCTAGGAAAAAGAGGAAGATTTTACTGGAACACAGTGACCCATGCAGTCTTGTGGGGCATTTGGGAAGAAAGGAACGATAGAACTTTTGAAAATAAAGCTAGAAATGTTGAATATCTAACTTCCTACATCACATATCTCTGCAATCTTTGGGTAATCAATTCTGAAGTGTTCAAAGGTCTCTCCCTAAACGATCTCCAGAGCAACCTTCCAGAAATCCTACACTCCTCTCCAAGATTTGAGGGGACTATGATACAGTCTCTTAGAGAAGGAGAAGGAGAAGGAGAAATGACTCTAAACTTTGATGGTAGTGGCCAAGGATCCACAGGTCAAGCAGGAATTGGAGGTGTATACGAGGGGAAAGGGGGAATATTTGTTGGGCTTACAGTGGTCCAATTGGGAGGGCAGATGCCACAAAGGCAAAGATCATGGCTGCACTCACAGGAATTTACCTTGCCAAACAGATAGGTTTATCCTCTTTAACCATTAAAGGGGATTCTGCAAATACTATAGCTTGGTTACAGGAGAAGGGAGGGCCCTGGAGACTAGCCCACTTCTTAGCTGAAGCTAGGAATATCTTAGTCTCTATGAATGTGAAGCTAGTCTGGATTCCTAGGGAGCAAAATTCTGTTGCTGATATCCTAGCAAAATCAGGGGTCTCTAGAGATTTCTTGTTTAGTAACAGTTGTTTGCCTTTGTAATCCTGCCAAGCCACTCTTGGATTCAGTACATCCTTTCATGTACTTCTATTTTTTTCTTCTTCATTAAAAAGTTACCTTTGCTTCAAAAAAAAAAAAAGGATCAATGTATTAAGGGATGTATTAATGTGTCTTGCATCTAGCCTAGGCATGCACCTTGGAGTTAAGCGCCTGCCTAGTCACCCAGGCGTGCACCTTATACAAACTTTGCATGGTGTTTGGGCGAGGCAAAGTTTGAAAACCGTCTAGTCGCCTAGGCGTCGCCTAACTATCACTATGCCCATGGCCACCCCAGACAAGCTTGAGTCCATGGCCCCTTTCACAATTGTCTCCTCAAACCTCAATCTTCTCGTTACCTTTTCTACCCTAGATTGTAGACTTGAAAACAGGAAAACTACTATATTGTTGGCCTATCTCTCTCCCTCATGCTTGAAGCTCCTGTCCCTTCAAATAGCACCACAAAATCTATCCTTCAGGTCATGTGACCTCAAAACTGAACTACTAACGTTTTGCCCCCTAATCTTATTACATATTACCTGTTTTACCCCTCTCCATTCATCAAACCTTCTTAATTTCCAAAGTTTCTCCTCAAATGAGAAATGACATAAAAAATATGCCATCCTCCTATACGCAGAACATTCCAACTTTTAGATTCAAATTTATGGGGCTCACCATTTTGACTCTGATTATTGATATCCCCCATACAATTTTCACTAATCACTAATCCACTGTAGTTATGGATACAATATATTAATAGAGCTATTTGGGCATGGGCGTAAGGACTGAAGGATACATGACGTCCCATTGGTGCTGCATCCTCCTCCTCTCCTATTAACCAAAACCCTAAACCTCCTTTCATGGATTCTTATCATATCGTCCCATCCTCTTATTGACCCCCTCTTTCTGATCAGTGCACCTATTAAATGCAGCAATAGATGAAGATAATTCCTTACCTTAATTAGTGCCTAAAGTTGATACTACTCACCTGCAAATAACAGGTTAATCCACTTACAATGGCATCACCAGATAGCCTTCAATTAACATTCTTGAAATTCCTACCTCCTCCCACTCAACATTTATATGGTCAACTAATACAACTCCACCGAAGAATTTTTATCACTTGAAACATCTGGACTTCCCAAACATACAGAGATGTAATACCAATAACATAACTAATATTAAATCAAATGACCATTGCATAAGTAATTGCAACATAACAGAAAAAAGCTGAATCTAGTCAGAGTACAAGGAAAATGCTAAGCTGGTCCTGAGAACCCGCATTTTAGGGAAGCCCTAAAAATCAAGGCCATCCAAGTGTTGGATGGCTTAGATGCTAGAAACCATCCCAAGGTGATGTTTCTTAGGAGTGGCTGAAAAGCAATTTCTGCTTGTCATACGTTTTTTTTTTTTTTTTTTTTTTTATATCAAAAAGAAACATAAAGTTAAAACAACACCAATACTACAATATAATATGGTGTTGGGGACTTTGCTATATATGTATATGTCTAGCTAATGCTTAGGAGATAAATGGTGCAAAACAGTGCACCAACACTTGCCATCCCTTAAAAGTAAAAGGAGAAAAGTGAACAAAATGAGAGGCACATGTAACCTTCTTTTTAGTTGTCTCTGTTAGTCAAGTATGATGTGAGAATTAACGAGTGTTGAATTGAAGATCGGGGGGGGGGGGCTATTGGCTCATTTGTGGTGTACAGAAATTGACCTTTGCGCTGAGTTTGGAAAGAGTACAAATACAAATATGTATAGTGAAAAAGCATACAAAATGATACAAAATACAAGGTTTTGCACTCTACATATTTGTATTTGTACTCCTTCCAAACTGAGCCCTGAGGAGGAAACCATTCTCTCTGGGCTGCCTTGGGTAGGGGATTATATAATACAGTGCATGCATCAACCAGGGATTATACAGCGTGACAAATGAAGGTTGCACCTCAAGGTCCTCTACTAAGCCACTACAAAGGGTTTAAACAATTAAACTTCAAATTAGGATAACAACTTGGTGCCAATCTAAACTTAACCCAAACCCAAAATCTTCATAGAGCTGCCAACTCCTTAGCAGATCCTCTTGCCAGGGAAGGGGCTTCCAGAAAAGAGTTGTATAGGGAACCCACTCCTCAGGGCTGAAGGTCTGTTTGTACTCTTTGGGGTTTGATGTAATGTTAGGGAAGAATAGCAGGGTGGGACTATCTTTTGGACAATTTTTGTCTTTATCTTGTCTCTCTTTTGTTTTATTTTATTTCTTCCTTGGGGCATAAGATGATGTTCTTCCTTTCATATTGACACCTTTCTTTCTATTAAGAAAGTTGTTGACATGTTACTGCTAGAAAAAAAAAATCAAGTATTAACCCAACTAAATCCTGAATCCTAAAATTAAGCTCGTCATCTAACTAAAGAATATACATTCTACATCTGTAATTCCATCAATATATGAACCAGTCATCCTTAACTGATCTTTTTTGATTTCTTGGACATAATAGAAGCACAACCAAAACAATTAATGTTAATATTCAGCAAAATAATTAATAATATAACAATCTTATATGGACTACTATAGTAGCTCTCTCCAGAACTATATCAAATCTGTCACCCAGAAAGCAATAGTCCATTAAGGCGATCTCTTCTAGGTCTGTTTGAAACTAAATGGAATAAAAATTTGCAAAACCTGTATATCTCATGACTTTCCCCCATAAAATTTGATGCATAGAATGAAAACTAACATTTTACAAGTGTCTCTAAATCATACAACTACATAATCAATCATCTGTGCTATTGCAGATGTGAAACCATGGGTATTATCATACTAGGCTTAACGAACTATAGGTAGATAAATGCATTAACAGGAACAACTAAATAACTAAAAATAGCAACTGCTCAAATAGTTCATATGAAAGAAAATGAGAATACATTCTCTTGGATGTGGCAAAATAAAGTTTAGCAGAACTGGGTGACAGTGTAAGTGTCCCATAGATTGACAATTTCATATTTCCCTATCTTCAAGGTGAGTTCTATGAGTAGAACAGTGGAAGAAAAAGAAGAGATTAAGGGATAGGAATGGGTGAGTTAGTGGGCAGATGCTATATTCTAATAAAATTAAACTGAAAATACAAAATACACTGTGATGAGACTTAAGGAACAAAGAGTAAATGCACAGAACCAACCACTTCTATTTAATAGAGGAAAAAAGGAAAAAGTCCTTACACTGTTCTTGGCCTTCCAAAATTTTCAGAACGGTTCTTGTGTGAAGGAGGTAAGATAAGATCTTAGTGGATATTTTTTCAGAGCTAAACATGGAGTGGTGGTGTCATGCCATAAAAGTTGAAAATTTTGGAAAGTACTTTTTTCTTTTTTAGGTAGCAGTAGATATTGGCAATAAGCAGTGTAGAAACATAGACACTTGGGCTTGAGCCCAATCACTCAATTTTGTTTTGTTTTGGGGATTACGGAGAATAATCTGGTCAAATTGATGCAATGATATCTAAGTTTCTAATTAATTAATTATTGTTTGCCTTCAGTGCAGTAGGCAAGGTTCTAAATCGGCAGCTGTCTACCCTTCATCGTTAAAACAATGGAAAACCGATACAATTCAGAATAAAAGCCACAAGCAATAGAGGTGGAAGCAAATGAACTGATTATCTTCAAAAAAGTTTTATATCAATCAGGCATCAATCATCTCTTCAGAAAACAAGAAAAAATTGAGAGAGAGAGAGAGAGAGAAGATAATTACCTGCAACAGTTCAACTACAGAGACAACGGAAGAGAAATTGGTTTGGGAGAGAAGAAAGAAGATGAGAAGGATAGGAATTGGAGTTCCCTTCCGTCGTCTCCTCTGTGTGACTTGACCCTTTCAGAACCAGTTCCATCTCCGGTTTCATATTCACACCCACGAGAACACATCTGCTACGACTTCTCATGAAACTGACCAATAAAAGACGGAAACGTAAGCGATGGAAATAAAAAAGATGCTACCTGATGTTTTAAATTTATTTCCATGGATGACCTGTCCATGTTTCATTGGACGGTCGTAACAAAGTGCTGCGATCATGGTTGTTCAACACGTGACACGAACGCGATACCCTTCTCCTACTCTGAGGTTAGGTTGAACTTTCGGTTCGGTTCCAGATCGGACTTCGGACCCCTCATTTTGGAAAGTGGGTCGGATGCCAAACCGTGAAACACTTTGAAAGAAGAAATAGGTACCTTACCTTTTCGGTACCATAGCAGACTCCTCTCAGCTTTCTTGCTGCTTAAAAGTTTTAAAAACCTCCTCGCACCTAACTGCTTCAGTGCTTTTTGAACTTGAAGAAACTCTCTCTCGGCCGTTCTCAAGTCGCAGACAATCCGATTTAGTTCAACCCACCTAGTTATTCTGTGGAGGGAAACCACTGGTTTGGGCCGTAGAAAGGAGGGTAAGCTTGGTGATAGTATGGTGGTTTTAAACTAGGGTTTTTTCTTTTATGTCTAGTCAAGGAAGCTTTTTTCTTTTCTGATTTGGTTTTTGGAATTCAATTCAACTGTTAGTTCTGTTTGGTATTTGTCTCAGGCAGACTATAGAAATTCCGATGAGCAAAGATACACCACAGAAAGTCGCTCCTAAATTGGTGACATTGGGGAAAGCACTTCAATTAGTACTATTCTTTCTATTCCTTTACTATGGCGATAAAAAGATAAATAATGATCCAAACCCAGTTGTGTTCTCTTCATGCATTGTTTTGTTTGAATAAAAGTTTAATCGCCTATATTTTCTTTATCCTTTTGTTTATTTATTGTTTTGTATTGTGTCTGATGAATGTGATGCAGAATTAGCAGAATTAATTTGGTTTCGTGTTCTCTTTCTGTGCTTAGATTTTAAGGCTGTGTTTGACATGTTTTCAGTGATTTTTTTTTTGAAGCGAGATAACAAGATGTTATATTAAAAAGAAGGGCCTGTACAAACAGAGAGCAACAATCGAGCAAAAGAGCCCTCCAAAAACTCAGGGCATAATGGCACTGCTATTACAAGAATTCTCTGTAAACACGTGTTTTTGCCAAAAAAAATCTGCAACTGAATTAGATTCCCTAGAAGTCCACCTAATAGCAGAAGACATAGTAGCGATCAAGTCTCTAGCCTCATTGAGAAAGTGATCCAGCCTCCACAGGCCTCCTGTATTTGAGGTCATCCACCTAATAACATTGGCCGAGTCCCCTTCAATAGTGAAAGACCTGAACTTGAACTGACGAGCTATTCTCAGATCTGTAAGAAGAGCCAACAATTCTGCCTTTGTTGAGCTTGCAGCACCAATGAGCCCGTTGTAAAGTGTAAACCCAGATTACCTCTCCCCTGTTTGTCAAGAATACACCACCAATTCAGTCATCCCAGGATTTCTCACCGAGCTTCCATCAAATCTGAGAAGCACAACATCTGAAACAGCAGGAGTAACCCTTGTTAAGTTCCTGGAAGGAGGAAAAGAACACAGCAAAGGAAGCAGGTTTAAACTTATCTCTCATAACTGACTCCCTTGAACTCCTTTTTGCACAGAGCCCACTGGTTGCACAGACCTATGATGCAATCCAACAACTCCACGAGAGGCATATTCTTGTTATTGAAGATACACAAATTTCTCTCCTCCCACAAGCCCCATAAAACAGCACGGAGAACGAGCCTGCAGTAAAGAATACCTCTTTCCTAGGTCTTCACACCTCCATTAGTGAAGCAGGTCACTTATATGCTTTGGAAAGACCCAAGTTAACTTTGTAAGGTGAGGAAGTGCTACCATGCACTTCTACTTGTGCTGCAGTCAAGTGGCAATTGGCCTGCAGATTCACCATCATTTAAACACAAGCTGAGAAAAGAGCAGTTCTAAGGCTTCAAGCTGAGAGCTCTATGAAAAGAATTAGTTGAAAAACAACCAGAGGGATGTACTCTCCAAACTTTCCTATCTGACTTAAATGGAGAGAGATAAGCCTGTAAGAGCAAAGACACTAGACTATTCAACTCTTGAATTTCATGATCTCTAGGGTTTTGATGCCAATTAAAGGTCCAAACAGAATTGCTACTTGGGCTGATCCTAAAACTAGATACAGTACCATCTGGATTAAGGGAGAGATGAAACAAACAAGGGAATTGGTCTGCCAAATCTGTCACCTCCCCAAGTATCGGTCCAGAATTTAATATGATTCCCTTTTGCAATAGAAAACCTAATGAAGTTAATGAAAACAGGATAGAGTTGATTATACCTTTCCAAATACAGCTAGAACGGACTCTCTTTGAGCGGAGAACACCATCCCACCTGTTGGAATGTAAACTAAATCTGCCAGTGACCACTCTTGTCTAGAGGCTGTCTTGTTCAAGTGGGAGCCGCCATAAATATTTCCCTGGAAGAGCCAAATTGCTGTTGTTAAGCTTGTATACTCCTAACCCTCCTTCCTCCTTAGATTTGCACACCACCTCCCAGCTCACTAGGTGGTCTCCCTTACTACCTCCACCCTCCCAAAGGAGCTCTCTCAGTAGTTTCTCTATTTTGTCTCTTACTTTGACTGGAACTCTGGACACTGACAAGAGGTAAGAAGAAAGGTTTGCCAGCACAACCTTGATGAGAGTCAATCTTCCCTCCTTTGAAAGGTAATTCACCTTCCACAAGGCCAACCTATTTTCACAGTTTTAAGCCACAGGATCCCAAAACTGCAGACTCTTTGGATTTGCACCTAGTGGCAACCCAAAATAAGTAATGGGCCACTCCTCAGTTCTGCATCCTAAAATTCCTGCCAATAACCTAACTGAATCAGGAGATGCATTAATACCGATCAGACTACTTTTTGAGAAATTGATCTGCAAACCAGAAATAGCTTCAAAACAAAGAATGACCCTCCTTAACTGCTCCAAACCTTCTTATTCTGCCTCAAGAAACAACACTGTGTCATCTTCATACTGTAAGTGACTGATGAATATGTGAAGGAAACATATACCAGGACTAGGACATAGACCACTCTGTATAGTATAATGTTTGGATGTGTTTCTTGAGCAGAAATAGTAATACCCCCCTTCCTCTGGCCTTCTCTGATGAGATCTCTCTTTCCTCTCTCAGTGAACAAATCAGAAATACATGATGGGTACCATTGCTTTTAGTGGGCATATAATACATATAATTGGCTTCTACAAGTTTGCAACTTATTTTGAATGCATATTTGGTTAGGTGTTTCATGCATGCTTTGTCTATGTGCTTCTCTTTTGATGTTACATTTTGATTTCAACTAGTTGTTTGACACAAGTGTTGGTCCAAATTTGTGGAATTGGTAGTTTCACCAATTTACCGTCTTATTTGCTCCCAATTGTGTTAAATGCTAGAGCTCTCTTTCTCTTTATCTCTCTCTCCTTACACCAGACGCAACATGTGTACAGGCTGAATCATGGGTTAATAACATGAGTGGATCAACAATGAATGAATCAACTGAAGTAGAAAATGAGGGCCGACCTTCCAGGTTAACTTTCCATACTAATCTTCCTATGCTTATCCTTTTATTTTCTTCCCCCCCACCATGGTTATTATTGTTTCATTTATTGTCTTCTAACTTCTTCCCTTCCTTATGCTTATCCTTTTATAGACTTGGATTGGGGTCCACAGCAAAAGTATTGCGTCACTCAAAACTTGAAACTTCAACTGATCCTGTGGAAAGAAAGTTACGTGCCAAGCTGGATACTGAAAAAAGACGAGCAGCCAAAAATATGGAGGAATCCATCCTATCTGAGAGAAATGGTGGATGCAGTGACGAGGATGATGAGAACTTAGAGAGCAGAACTAATGCTTTTGGAAAGAAGAGGGTGGGCCATGAGGCCTCACTTTTGCAGGCTAAAAAGAAACGAAAGTAACTGTCAGTCTGTCACATGAAAGCTCCTTCTAGGTATGACTTGTGGTATCTTTTATGTTTTCATACTGGCTTATTTGTCCTTGCATAAATACATTACTCACTAGGCTATTGTATCATCGTTTAAGACCTGATTGTTACCTGAAGATTTTAAGAATCTGTGGCTTGAAAAAATTCTATATGGGGATGGGTTTGCTGAGGTCATAAATCCTATATGAGGCAGCTCAATGGCTATTTGATAACGGCTGAAGTGGCTGAATTGAATGACTTAATTCTGTCTTTTATTGAATAAAATAATTAAAAATTCAACTATAGTTATAGCCATCAAGGAACTCACAACTTCCTTAATAGCTTATTTTCTAAAAGATAAAGCACTATGCCATTCAGTTCAGCTACTTCAGCTGTTATCAGGTACCTATGCAGTTTCTGCCAGGTAACTGATTGTAATGTAGCTGTTTGACATCCTTTTCTATTTGGTGTTGAACTTTGTTGTTCAGGCTGCAGTGCTGAAAGGGATGTTTTTAAAAGCCAGATTGAGTCAGGTGATCTGGGTTCTGGGAGTTGGATGTCTTTTTTCCTTGGGTTAAGAATTGAAACCTGACAACAGAAAAACCTAGCCCAACAGCTAGAACCATTTAGACTTTCTGAAAGACATTATGAACTGGGGTCATATAAGAGTCAGATGGATGAAAGAAAACAAAATAAAACAGGAGCAGTAGTGGTTTTGAATATTTTCTTAGGAGTTCTTTTGAGTCCCTTGGTTAGGTAAAATGTGAGTAGGTGTGGTTTGCAGATCTTCACCTCACTGGATCTGAATGTTGGACAGGGTGTTGTTAGAACCCCAGGTCTATGGAGGTATAGATGAAACATGGAGGCAACATTGTTGCATATTTTCCTCTCTCAAGTGATGGAACCTTGTAGGGTTGTTTGGAGTGTCAATGCTACACCTAGAATTTTTTTGAGAAAAGGTTGACTTTCAGTAAAGGGGGATGGGGGATATACAAAAAGAGGATATACAGCTATGCCATAACACCAAGCTAATTACAAGGGCAAGAAATAGCACTATACAAAACATCTCTGCCCACCCCAAACTTAGCTAAAGAATCTGCGAAAACATTTAAATCCCTTGGGATCCACCTAAAGATGCAAGCAAGATCTAATGCAAGATGGATCTCATTTAAAAAATGGAGAGAATCTCCAAGGCCCACCATCACTATTGGAAACCCATCCAATCACATTTCTAGAATCACCTTCAACTAGCAAAAGTCACACACGAAGGGAAAAAGCCAATCTCAGACCTGTTAAGGTAGTTTCTGCCTTAGAGAAGTCCGTTTCACCAATAGGCCCATTAAAGACCCAAATTAAGTTACCTCTTATATCAGCAATGACACCACTAGTCTCAGAATTAGATGAGCAAATTGGCAACCATTAACACCCCTTGAGGTTGATTGGAATGCCGTTTTTGTACACATACATGCAAATTGTTTTCTTTCTAGTCTGTGCCAGTGTGCCTCTACATGATTCAGTTTCTACTGAGCAGTTATGAAAAGTCTGGTTCAAAGTTGTTGATTGCAGGATGATAATGAAGCGTGTTTGGGCGAGTAGAAATGCCTGCCTGGTGCCTAGCTTTTGACTCCATCCTGGTGGGCCCTGTTTGGTGCATGTTGGTGGTGATCTGTCAATGCTGGGGAAACATTTGAGAGCCTATGGTGATACTACTGATGGACCTACGGCTCACTGTTGTACCAACTTCCAAACCATTGAGGTTGAGCATTTCTTTAATATTAAGCCAGCCTTGAGCCCAGTGGCAGGGCAAGCAATGTGCTCAAATTGGTTGGACCACTATTTACTACAGCACAATTTGGGGTGTCGTTTTAGGCTTTGGCATTTTTTTTTTCATACAAAATTGTCTAAAGACTAATGACAAAAACAGTTGTGTTAGGACTGGATATTATTGTAATAATTTATCCCGAAAAAACAACCAGCTTAAGGGCTGGTAGTTGCTCTAGCATCATTAATTGGGTTGAAATTGTTTATCAGTGATTTCATCTGTAGGAACAAGGTCTTAGCGCTGTTTGTCTTGCTTTCCGAATTTGAAACTTGGAAAGACTACAAAAAAACAAATATGTACAGTGCAAGTATATGCAAGATACAAGGTTCTGTATTCTACATATTTGTATTTGTACTCCTTCCAAAGTGAGTCTGAAAAATTTTAAGGGTAAAAGCAAGGTTCGTTCAAAAATTGTTACGTATCGGTCGATACGGCCAATTTGTATCATATCGGGCTCTTACCGATATGTTCCTACAGGGGTTGTATTGGGTCAGGGCCTAGTTCAGAGGGTAGCTGGGACTTAAACCGGCCCCTCTGAACCAAAATAAAAAAAAAGTTAAAAAAAGGACCGATACTGGCCGATACGCCCAGCCAGTATCGATACTTTGGATCTTGGGTAAATAAATTCAACATACCCTGAGCTTTCATATTGTCTTAAACATACCCTGAATTTAGATGCGGGCAGCTGTAATATATAGCACAGGAAAGAAGGGTGACCTCTTAATTTTAGATGCGGGCAGTTGGTTCAAGTTGTAGAGACTGGTGCTTCCTAGTAGGCTTGCATGGATCAAACTTTAAGTGTTGGAGAGGAACAAGCATACTTGAGCTGAATCAAGTGGCTGATCCATGGTGGAGTAGGTGAACAAAAGACATTGTTGGATCGGTTTAGACTAAAATAGGGGGCAGTATATGGATAAAGTGAAAGTGGGGGAAGCGGATTAAAATAAGGGACCGGTGGTTGAAGGTAACAGTAGAAATGTGAATCGGGAGGTTTTGCCTTTCTGCTGCTGTTGTGTTCAAAGGAGGGAGATGATGAAGAGTGTTCGTGACTCTGGTTTTCTTTGAAAATTTGAACAATGAAGGGTAAAAAAGTCTTTCCCAGACAATCTATAAGAAATATAGGGCCTGTTTGGTTCACAGAAATAAGGGTCTGGAATTGGAATCCAACCATGGGCACATTCGGAATTTCATTCTCATTCCTGTTGGAATGGCATTCTCCCATTTTAGGAAATGGCTATTCCCTCCCCCTCCCTTGGGAATGAAATCCTATTTCAGCTTATTCCAACTCTGATTCCGATTCTTGTCTGAACCAAACTGACTATGGGAATAGACCATTTCAATTCTGACTCCAAGGGATATTGATTTTGATTCCAACTATGAATCAAATGGAACCATAGTCTATTTGAAAAACTTGGGGTATGTTTAAGTCTTTTACCCAAATTTTGGTAACCCTGCAACTTTCCCCCATCCCCAAAAGAAAAGGGTAAATTATAAATTATCAACCTATACTTTGGAGGTTGTGACTCCCCATTATACTTCTTATAGAAGTGCGAATGAGGTAGTGAGATTCTAGAAATTTTCTTCACTAAACTACCCCTTTTGAATCTGGTGCATCTCCATTGAGAGGGCAAAAAATGTAATTAAAACAATACTATTAAATACATTTAAGTACATCTTATTAAGTTTTACATTTAAGTCGAGATAAATCACATTCTCTCATTGAATCCAACATTTATACTTTTATTTATCATCATTAAATTTCACTAATAAATTCATACACTAATTATTAGGGTTAATTACTTACATATACCCTGTATATTTAGGAGAAACTACTTAAATATACCCTAAACTTTCAAACCTACTTATATATACCTCATAATATGGCCCCATATAACACAAATAAGCCATCTATTAAAAAATGCAAAGCGATTAGATATGCCATTAATTTTTCTTATAATTCTGTTTTTATCCTTGTTCTTCCCTTTCTCCCCTCTCCAAGCTGAATGAATGGAGGTGATGCAAATATGGAAATATAGAAGAAGAAAATGCTAGATTGACAAAGACAACAAGATCTGACGAGAATAAATCAAAAGAAGTCATAGATTTAGAACAAGATGAACTTAAAACAAAAACAAAGTAGATGGAATGTTGAAAATACTATTCATTCATCAAGGAAATGTTATCCGAAGAAAAATAAGAAGAAAAGCGGTAACACTAAAGAAGGTATTTGAAAAGACAAAGGAACCAATCTCTAATACATTTGATTTTGCTCTGACCCAGAATGACGATTATATGATTAAATCCCATTGTTTATTCTTTTCTTAAACACCTCCCAAGAACTATGACTATTCTAATGTCCATACCAGTTAATAAACTCCTTTTGCCTTTAATAAACACATTCTCCAACCCAAACTCATTCTAACAAATAAAAATAATAAAGAACCAATTTTATTGGTTACTCCAAAGGTCGAGGGCAATGAGAGTTGAAGTTGTATCATTTTGTTCCCTCATAAAAACTTACAACCAGAATTGCTTGGGTGAGATCCTTGCTGATTTCACTCATTTGAAGTTTTTTGTACAATCTATACCTCTAATTGTGGAGTCTTAGATGAATTGGAGCGTTTGCTAAAGATCAATAAAAGACATTGGTGGCCCCTTTTTCTAGGCCAACTCTGCTTTTAACATTATCATGTCAATTAGAAATTGCAGTGGTGGTTGATTGGTTGTGCAACAAGCGGGAGAACCATCTATTCATTGTCAAAATCCCCATAAAGAGAAAAAGAGTTCTATTGGTAATGCCATAATGTTCCTACTAAGATTCCACTTTTTTGTAATATTTCAGTGGTTCCAAGTTTCAAGTGACATTGTGCATCAAGAAAATGAAGCGCTAAAGAAGCATAAAACCAAGGGTAGATTGGTTTGGCTTATCAAGTCACTACAATGAAAACCTAGAAATAATTAGTCTATTTTTTTTTTATTTACTCGACTTAGTTCTAGCAGTGGTGTTTTCAATGTTGAAGAAGAAGAAGAAGAAGAAGAAGAAGAAGGAGAGAGAGAGAGAGAGAGGGAAAAAAAGAATGAAAATGACATTTTGAAAATTTAATGAATAGTTAGGGATACTTGCGTCTTTTTACATTCAATCTATAAAACTTAACCTTGGAAAAGTCAACAAGGTATATATATGTTGTTTTTAAAATTTCAAGGTATATAAAAGTAGTTTCTCAAATATATAGGGAATCTATAAGTAATTAACCCTACTTATTAATAGAATGAAGTTTTATATTTTTAAAACAAACCTAGAAATAAAATCATATTTTCCATTAGGTGGTGGGTAAGTAGTTCAATCATTTGGGTGAAATGAATAATTTCATGATGTCATAAATAAATAATACAAACTTAGAAATATAAAAATATAAAAACAAAAAAATAAAAAAAATAAAAAAATAAAGAAATTTTGAAAAATTTGCACATGTTTCTATTATTATGTATTTGTCATATTAAAAAAATAAGTATGATAAAATAGACATAATTTTATTAATGATGGGCATGGAATATACAACTTCAACCTAATGGGAAATTATTGAAAAAACAAATACAAATCTATATCTATATCTTTACTACTATTAAAAGTGTGAAACCTTTGTTTGACTAACATTGGTCTGTCTCTCATTATGAGGATAAAAATGTAATTTTAACAACCATTTACTCCTCATTCAAATCCCTTTCATTTAAGCCCTATATTTAAGGTATTAACTCCCATTAACATTCACCGATTCTTATTCTTGACTAGAATACTTCTATTTTTGTATTTGGTCCCTCTCTAATTGTGGGGGCACAAAATGTAATTTAAATTAGTACATTTTTCCTTATTCAATTCCCTTTAAGTCTTATATTTATGGTATTAACCCATTCTTTCATTGCATCTTATATTTATTGATCATATAAATATTAATATTAAAAAGTGGGTCACAAAGAATAATCATTTTTATAGAAAAAGAAATGAAATACAAATTTAAAACCAACCAAAAATGGAGTTGTTTCATGTTTGGTGGTAAGTCAACAATTCAACCTTTTGGGTCGAATATGTAAACCGTTGGTGTCATAATTAAATAATAATAAAAACTTTAAAAGATTAGAACACATAAAAGTATAAAAAATACAAAAAAAATTATAGAAAACATTTGGGCAAATATTATTTGCTATCATCATCACAAAAAATCATCATGTGCAAATAAACTCTTACTAGTTTATTAAAATGTCATTTCAAGATTCATATAGGCCAAAAGATGACACTTCAAAATGATGAAAATGGGCAGGGGAAGCACATTATCTCTTCCTCACCTACTTTGAGTGAGAAAAAAGAAAAAGGAAAAAAGAAATATAAGTAAAGGGTTTATACAAATACGAAAAGAGAAATAGCAAAATTGTACCACAAATTAAGGAAAGAGTAATTTAGGGAGTTAGAAATGTATAAAAAGCACATGACATTCACATGAGGATTTTGCTTTTGCTTTTGTTTTTTTTTTAAGTGAACTTATGGGATGCTAGAGGTGAAATTGATATTGGAATCTGAAAATTTAGAGGGGTCTTTGTTGCAAATGAACCTATTGAAACGACAATTGAAGGATGCCATGAGGTTTGTAAAAGATTTAGGTTAAATCTGTAGTATTCCCATACCTATAGGCTATAGAGAGACAAGACAAATATGGTGACAGATATTCTTGCAAACCATGGTCACTTGAATCAATCTGGTCCCAGTGTTCGTAATAATTGGATGCTCAATTACATTAGTGATAGTGCACAATCTTGTGGTTCTCGCTTGGCAGATGACTTGGATGTCGGGTTGGAGGTTTCCTTGTTGGAAATCGAGTTAAGATTGGCCGAGTTGGGGGCAGCTCGGATGTCGAGCTATGTAGTTCTTTGGAGAGACTTGTGAGAAAACAATATCAGTTTCCTTGTTGGAAATCAAGCTAAAATTGGCCGAGCTGGGGGCAGCTCGGATGTCGAGCTATGTAGTTCTTTGGAGAGACTTGTGAGAAAACAATATCAGAATGCCCATGTTGCTTTTACTCGGGGTGGGCACTCTGATGCTTAAGTTAGTAACTTGGGAGATTTCAGAGAGTTTTAGAATGCTTAGAAGCTTAGAGAGTGCGAAAGCTGAACCGCGTGTACTTTCTCTTAGGAGAACGATGGCTTTATATAGGAGTGAGGGATTATAGATCCTTTGTAATGGATCTGAGATTCCCAGGGAGTCGCTTCTTCTAAGTCGGGAGAGAATATCTCCGTCGGTTACGTAATCTGTGCAGAGAGCTAAGGGCTGTTCGATCGACTCTGATGCAGGTGATGCGGGTAAGCCGGTTTAACGATCAAGCGTTATTACTCCAAAGAACTCGGTCTTGTTAACGAATCTATGTTATAGGTCAACGAGCACGCCTTGTAGGTCTCCATTTATACCCTACTTATCTTGGTCGATCCTCGAAGGAAGTCGCTCCTTATACGAATGTCCTTTAGGTCGGCCAGACCGAGGTACTTTAGGTTGGCCTTAGGCGAGATGCTACTAGCCGGCTTGCCGGGGTGATATTCTTACTCAGTGTCGAGGTGTCACCTGGATGCCACATGTCATGATGTTATTCGGAGAACTAAATTCTCAGTTTAGTAATTTGTTCGGTTGGTTCATAAGTCACTTGGCTCGCCCACTTAACCCGACTCAAAGACTGGCAGGACTGCAATAGGATTTAAATTTTAAAATTTAAAGGGGGCACACAAAATTCAAAATTCAAATTAGCCCCTGCACGGTGCTGCCTTTTCATCTGTTAATTCACCAATAGCGCGCCTTAGTCGTTGATCTTCCTTGCCAACAGACTATAAATAGGGGGTCCTCACCAGGGTCCCACTTGCACTATTCTGAGGCTTTCGTCGAGAGAGTGGGTGATCAGTTGGAGGAGAGTTCCGCTGGAGTACTATTGTTAGGTTGCTGAGACGTTTACTTTTCATCGGTTTCTGTTCCCCCACAACTAGTGAGCCCATTTACTTTGTAAATATATCTTCGGGTCACTTAGAGGGTAGATCATTAAACTTTTGCTAGGTAGAGAAGGGAGCCACATCGCCGGATCGGCGGGGTTCTCAGGTTGAGGCCTCGATGTCTCAGCAAGAGGTGGAGGATACCCATTTGGCCATACCGAGCTGAGCGAGGAGCGAATAATAGAGCTGTATTCAGTGTTCCAAATCCCCTATGAATTTGACTGTATTCAGCCCGGCCCAAACCAATTTCTGTGGAGTCACGACCAAAATGAATTATGTGTTTTTGAGGTGGTATTGATCGCTAGCCTCCGTTTTCCCTTGCACCCTTTTATCCCTAAGGTGCTTTTATCTTTCGGTGTCTCCTTAGGGCAACTCCATCCCAATGAAATTCGGACTCTTGTAGGATTGATTTCTCTGAGTCACCACTTAGATTTTCCCCTAGACATAGACATTTTTGTCGGGCTGTATAGCATGAAGAAAGTCCCCAGTGTCCCCTATTGCTTTTACTTGCCCTTTCGTCGTGGTTATAGGCTGTTGGGAGGCTTTCCTTCCAAAGTAAGGATTGGAAGAACAAATATTTCTTCCTTTCTCAAGAGGCCAGTTGGAATATGGATACTGTATGGCGAAAGGATTTGAGGAAGGCAGTTGATGTAGAGTTCGACAAAGATCTGCACCTTGCAGTTGAATGCCTCGTACATCAGTGGTTTCAAGTAGAAAATTTTCTAGCCGAGCCTATGCTCTTCCAGGCCGGCCAGACCCATATAGGTAGGTCGGTCGATGCGTCTCTTGCATTTATTTTCGAAATTATTTTTAGCTCGGATAACATCTCCTTTGTCTTGTTCAAATATGGCGAGTATGGCTTCACTTTTGGCAGCGACGAAGAAGAAGACTTCAAGGAAGAAAATGAGGGTTGTCGATCGTGCATCAATGGAGGATATGTCGACCAGTGCTGAGGTAAGGTCTGCAACGTTCGCCTCTAAAGTCATGGACCTTGAGAGGGGTGGCGACCTGATGTCTGTTGAGCCTGAGCTAGCTACCACATACCCAACTGCTTCCTCATTGCAGGTCGGCCAAGAGGAGCGCCCCGTCGGCCCCTACACCTCAGACATACCTCGCTTTATCCTCAACATCGATGTCTCCATCCTTGACTGCCTCACCGATCCCCTAGTAGCTCTTCGCATAGGGAGAGGCATCCTTCTTCCAGAAGGCGTGCAATGTTACAGTGGGATGGACCCTTCCGAAGTCGGTGCTAGAACGACTCGATGCATCCTTTAGGTTTGTCTTTGGCTCTCTAATGTTTTAGAAGTCTTTTCTTATTATCCTTGTTCTGACTGTTCTTTTCTTCTTTGGCAGGTGAATATAATGGGCCAAGTGTTGCTAAATCAGGTCACCTCATCCTGGAAGGAGAAACATGAGATGCAAGCGTGCATGGAGGCTTTGTAGGTCCAAATGTAGGGGGTTCAGCTCAGTGTCGAGGAAGATTGCCAACACTTTATCAGACTTAGTACCGACATGCATCATGAGCTGGTAGCTCCAGAGTCAATGATCCAAATATGAGAAGAAGAAGCACAATAACCGAAAAACTCACCAGGTAAACCAATAGCAGAAAGAGCAGAAGAAATAGCAAAAGTTACTAGTTGTCGAATGTTTTCCTCAACTATAGATGCCAGAAAATCACCTTTAACAAAAGAATCACCACCAGTAATAGATTTCTTACTCCCATGTGCTACAACAACAGTGTCGATTCCATAGGTTGATCCTTCTAGCTTTATAGGAATAATATCTTCTCTATTGGAGGCCATTTCAGCAAGAAAACAACAGTCCATGCACAAGGATATCATAGAACCAAATTCAGCAATCAAGAACTCGGGATGACAGTCTGAAAAAGGCAAGTTTTAATACCATCAAGTCTAAAACCATTCAAATATGAATCTGAAGTTTGAATCAAATAAATGGGAAGCAAGAAAACCTTAGGACGACACCAGATTTAGGGTTATAGGTTGATTGAGTCAGCCGATTGAGAGAAAACTGTGATTTACCAACATAGCAGGCGTCTTTTTCAAGAATAAGGAGATATCTTGTGTTGATCAAAACAGTCCCTAGAAATCTCCAAACCAGAAACTAAGTGTAGGATTAAGAAGAGTTTGAGAGGACCCTTCAATCTGGAGAGAAAAACTCAAGTCGTAGGCTGATGTAGAAGGCCAGGAGTCCAAAAAAGAAACTATATAGTGTTACAGCCCCAAGAAGATCAGAACTCTTTCGAAAATTTCACCAAATCAGGTGTTGTTTGTAGGTAGAATAGATCAGGTCTAGGCGACACCAACTCTGAAGTCCAAAGCTGTTGCAATCCAAAAGAGAAAACTGTACAGTGTTGTCGCCCCAAGAAGAAGACCAGAACTCCTTCGAAAATTCACCAAATCGGATATTGTTTGTAGGAAGAGTAGATCAGGTCTGGGCGACACCAGATCTGAAGTTTGGCTTCAAACCAATGTCTCACAAGAGAGATCTAACGAAATCTCTCTTGCTAGTTATGCAAAGAAGACAAAAATGATTGATCAAAACAACCTTAATATGACAAGATTACTGCTTCTAGTGAGTTTCATGAGAGAGAGAGAAAATAGATCAGAAAGCAACCTGCTCTGATGCCATGTTAAATCTTAGAGGTGTCAAGAATGAATGACCCCCACCTCAAAGAGTCTCTTATATATTAAAAATATGTACAATTATAAGAATGCCCATATAGGGTTGAAAGAGAAAAGAGGAATAAGAAGTATAAGTAGTGTACAACAAGGATTATTATTAAAATTAACTTTGATGCCTCACGTCTGGAAGGAGGTCTATGTACCATTGCTACTCTTGTTAGGAATCACTTAGGTCAAATTTTGGATTTTAAAGCTTACAGACTTGGGCTGCGTGAAAAGCCCATAATTTGGCATTAATTTTCAAAAATTATCCCCTCATAATTGAAGGTGACTCTAAGCTAGTGATATCTTTCCTTAAGCGGATTATGCCTTGTTCATGGAACATACAAAAAATGTCATCCAATACTGTTGTGAGTTGAACGAGAGGTGTGAGAAGGGAATCATCTACAATCATGTATTTTGGGAGGCGAACCAGGCTACAGATTGGCTGGCCCACCTTGCATATGAAGTCTAGTTGTCGACCGATGATTGTTTCTTTGAACTTGTGTAAGCTTCCTTGGTCTCTTGCTTTTGGTTGTTCTAGTGACCTATGGGATCGTGCTACCCCTGTCTTGTGTAGCCCCCTCAGGATTTATCAAAAAAAATAAAAAACTTGTAAAAGTTACAATTAGATTCCATTTTCCAAATCGGGAGCTTACCCATGTTGGCTCCTTTCCTAAGCCCCCATATATATACATGCCATAAATACTTTATTTGTATATATATATATTTGGTAAAATATTATACCATGTATGGAAAATACTAAATGGCCTAGACGAGTTCAGTTTCTGTTACTGCAAGTCTGTGCTCACACCATTCAAACAGTGTCTTGCAACCTTGCATTGGGAATATCTCCCCATAAAATAAGCACCTAAGTATGGAGATATTCCCCATGCAAGGCTGTATAGGCTGTTCAAACGGGTGTTGCACTGACTGAAACTGATCCCGAGTGTGAGCTTGATGTGGGTTCGGACTGGGCTTGATAGAAAAATGGCTCCTTAGGTCGGGGATGGGGATTGAGGTCCCTACCCCGCCCCAACCCCGATTTTATATTATGTATAATACATTTTATTTATATTAAATATATTATTATATATCAAAACATATTTAAAATATTATTTATAATTTAAAATTTTTATTTATTTTAAGTAAATTTATTTTTAAGAAAATATTGTTATCCAAAAACATTTCGAGAATTCAGGTCCCCATAGGGAACCCATATCCCCATCGAGGATCAGGGATGGAGGACAAATTTTATCCCCAAGGAGAATCGAATTAATTTTAGAATTGGGTCAAAGACGGGAATATGATCCCCATCCCGAACCCGCCCGTTTCCATTCCTATCCCCAGGCCTGGAAATTTGCAGGCTAAGCCTGACTGGACCATAAATGATCATCCCTAACTACTCCCGTTGTGTAGCCCCATGGAGAGTAAAAAAGAAACACAACCCACATCAGAGAAAACCCACTCGGATGTAACCTTTATGTTTTTCTCGTTTAGCTATATAATTACAAGGCTCCCAAACTTGGGTTGAACATAAACCAACTGTAACCAAAAACAACAGAACCAATCTTCAGGATAAAAAGAAAAGAGAGAATCAAAGAATTAGCAAAAGAAAAACAGTTCGTTACCAACTGAAACGATCTATCGTCAACCAACACCTTCAAACCACACTCTTCACCTCCTACAAAGACGCAAAGATTGCATCTTATGCTACAAAGTCAATCAAACTGAAAGATTGTAAGATCAGACCTACTGCGTTCTCATGGATAGTTGGAAAAAATGGTAACAATCCAGAAGAGAACTCCAAACTGATGGCCATGGTCAGAAGAAAGTCGAATTCAACTGTGAAGGGACCGGTCTGATGTATTGTCACATTTTTCAGGGGATAATAGCCATGAAGCAGACCAGAGATTGGAAAGGATCCAAATTCCAGAAGTTGTGTTCCACTTCTACAAGTTGTTTCCTTGTTCCCTGCTGTTTCCCACTGAACGAAAGCATAGAAAATAGTCTCCAACATTCAGATTTCACGTCCACAACTCAGATATGGTTTCCTCCATCAAATCTTCTAGAATGGCTTCTCCCATTTCGGAACCAATATTCTCTGTGTCAAGTTTGAGGTCCATCCATGCTCCTGATTTAGCCATGTCCTTTCCAACAATCTGGTCCAGTGTTTGTTGTGGCAGCTGTGGTTGGATATGCCAATCCATGCCTTCCCATACTTCGTCGATGATATGTTTCCCCACAGGCACTGGACGGGTGTTGGGTTTGACAAATGAAACCCAAGGGGTGCAACTAAAATAGCACTGATACATCTCGACAAGGATTTCATTAATACAATCAAAGAGGAGCTTCCGATCACCACAAAGTTGGGAAGTGATCACCTCTACTTCGTCGAACAAGGAAGGCTCAAGTATGTAGTCTGAGGAATGACATCCCCTCAAGAATTCACCTGATGAGCTCAACCCAGATGCTTCCAACACTGCACTTACATACTTAAAAATAGACCTCTTGTTTTCCATGCAACTCCTCGAATTGATTTCTGGAGCATAAGTTGTTAAGACTGGAGCTGAGGAGTCTTCACAAAAATTAATATGTAGTGGTTGAATTGGTGGTTCAGCTACAGATATTTGATTGGATGAAATCCATCTAAGATTCAATATAGAAGCAAATAAAAAAAAAAAAAGGATGAGAAGTGTTATTATTCTTTGTAGAAAGCATACCAAACTGGGATGGAATGCTGGCAGGGCTGATAATATCTTCTAAGAGTGGATCAAGAACAGATACTGGACTTGGCTGTTCTACTCTTTTGTCGATTCCTTCCAGATCTACTTTCTCAATGAGTAGAGAGCTTGACAATGGAGAACTTAATGGAGGTGTTGACGACTGATTCTCTTTAGGTGATTCCTGGAAAAGAATAAAGGTTTGGTTACAAAAGACTCTCTTAAGGAACTCAAGGAACATTCACATAAGACATTACTATATAGTTGACAGAAAATGGAGAAAAATATCTTCTTGAGGAACATAATTTACCGGTCTTGACCATTCAGAAGATACTTCTTCCTCATTGATTTTGGTTGTGTCAGTTCTCTGGTTGGTCCTGCTGTTGGGATTATTACTACTTAGCTCTGAGGGCTCATCCAGGACATTGCTTTCTGCAGATAAAGTATCGGCTACTTCCACAATAACCAAATTACCTGAAGAAATTTTAAGATCTGCTAAGTCAAGTGCACATATGTAAACAAGGAAACTGGTGTAAACACTCCTTAGTTTTTACTGTAAACTGGAGGATAGAGAAAGCAATACCTTTTGGACTTGGCACTTCTTTAACAGTACAGGTGCTTTCAATCTCCTCTGACACATTCAGATTTAAGTTGGAGACGTTCATTTGGCTGTCAGGTTTACTGTTATCAGGGCATGGTGGAGTTTCTATATTCTTCTTCAATGGACTTAGACAAATTCCATCTCTAACATTGTCATAATGGGAAGACCTCATCTGTGCATTTACAGAGCTATTTTCCCCATCCCTAGCAGGACTGAATATTGGTGACAAGTTATATTCAGGCAGAGAGAGAATCCTTCCCAATTTTTTTGTCACTGGCCTGCTTGACAAATACTCATCTTCATCTTCAGTGATGAACATATCTACAAGATGTTTCTTAGCCTCACTGTAGATGTTTGATTCTCTTTCTTTGCAATATTCAGCGGTTGCCATGTTTAAATTTTCATAGCTACCAATACCACTTGAAACATTCTTGTGTCCATTTCTTAATTCATGATCTTTTGGCTTGCCCTTCTTGACATTGGTGGAGGGTTTCATAAACTTTTCAACATGGAAATGGGAACTACTTGGCAGTCCCTTTCCAAACATCTCTGTTGTAGTTTCTTTTCCACCACTACTTGAATGCTGATTCTTGTAAGGAATGGTATGTCTCATAGCAACCATGGGAGTTCCATCTCCTTCCTTTCTTTCTCCCATGGCATGCTTTAACCTTCTTTTTATTTCTCTAAGAGAAAAATGTGAGGTGAGTTCCATGCTCAGCTCTTCATTTCTCAGGCTGTAATGAGATTGTGGTGAGTAGCCGCAATGAGTTTCAGAATATCGCACGGCTGTTGTAGGCTTCAAAATGACTATTTTACTGGAAGCCTGAGGACTTTCACTTTCCACTGATGGGTCTTTGACTCGAGACTTCTTCCTCCTGAAAAAATTATGCATTTTCTGTTTCTGAATATTTTTGCCATGGATAAGCTCTTCACGTCGACTTGAGTTACTAATTTCTTCTTCTGACAACTTCTCCTCTGCTAATAGTTCAGTTTGTTCAACTTTCTCAGCCTGTGAATCCTGTAGCTCTTGAACATATTTTGTAAATAGTGAGTTTGGATTCTGTAGAAGTTTTAGAAATAATTCCTTGTTTGTGTTAAGTATTTCTATGGCATCAATAAATTGATTGAACTGGTGGATTTCCCTATCTCCAGTTAGTTGTTTAACATTAATGGATTTCTGGCTTAGAAATCTCTTAGTAGCTTCATTCAGCTTTTCTTGGAGAATAGAATGTTGTTGAATCAACAGCATGTTGATCCCATCAAGCTGGTTGCAAGTCTCACATTGAGTATTTCTTTGTACATCAAAAGGATCTCTTTCACTGTCATGCCGCAGAGGTATTTCCAGATGTTGATGGATCTGGCTAAAGAACTCTTCCATCAGTGCAGCTAGATTGATGTTGTTTAGAGATTCTTCCACTGAATCTGGGTGAAAAGGCTGCTGATGTTCCAAGCTTGTAGAAGCTTTCAACTCATGGGTGTTGTTTACATCACAATCATTGTTGCAACTACTGTTTCTCTGTTTATGATTCTTCCCCTTGTGACCCTTGCCTCCTAAATCACATTGTATTTGTTCTAATGAAGCACTGGTTATCTGCTTATTTTGGTGTTTCTCATATGACATCTGCTCTTCCATGTGTTTCTTCACACTTTTCATATCACTATCAACTTCATGTATCTTACTTTTGTCAACATCCTGAAAATTTGAAATGAATAACACCATTTCATTTAGATTACCTGCTTGGAACGTGTACTGCATATGCAAATTAAGCTAAAGCATGGGACAGTAAAGGATGGAAAGCTTTTCAGTTACACATCTGGGTAGCTTTGAAAAAGTGGAAACAAAAATCAAATGAAAAGGATAAGAAAGGAAGAACGGACTACATTTCTAAGATGCAGCTTAGCCATATGACCAAAATTGGTATTTAAAAGCTCCAATATCTGTATTTGCATAATTGGATAAAATGAGTACAGGTTGTCATCTACTGTAAGAAGAAATGATCTTTTCTGTAGCATTAAGAAGCAAAAAATGATGAACATTCTTGGTTAAGGTTCCTCTCAACATTAACCAAACAGTCCTTGGATGACTTTAAAAACATATAAAGAGGAAATTAGAATAATTTGGTGTTCTCTAGATTTTAATTGCGTGTATTCCATAGTTAAGACTAGACATGGTCTTTAGAATGCCTGTAGTTTCCACAAGTCTATCCTTAAACTCCTTTTGTAAACAAAATAACTTGTTCATGGGCTAGCATGTTTCAACCAGATCTATATTACATTAGATAGGGCCTTCGGAGGCTCCTCAAGTGGGTGAAAACAAGTGAAAATTGAAATGGAAGTTTGTAGATGGCACACTGTAACATAAAGCATAAAGCAAACACTACTGTGTTACCAATTAGTTGAACCATTGAACCGATTTTGTCCTGAACCAATTGCAATTTTGGTCCACTGATCAATCTGTCTTTTTAATTGGAATTATTGATTGTATGCAGCATCATCTTATATAGGGAAGGGAACTACATTAAAGCTCAGAATTCCATTTCTAAGCTATGTTGTTTCTTCCTCTTTGATATATTTTTAATCGACTATCAGAAGAAAAATAATTTGGCTTCTTGGATATAGTGAAATACATATTCCAAAACTAACTTACTGAAAAAACAAATAAAAAAAAAGGGATGAGAGTTCAAAAATCATATGTTTCTGGGGTGGAGTGGGGTAAGTTGACTTGGATGGTGTGGTGGTGACTCAGAAACTAACCAACTTATTTACAAGAAAACAAGTATGAGAAATAAAACTTGGGAGTTCTACTGAATCTACTATTTTGTTACGCTGTCCTTGATGGTTTAAAAAAGAAGGATCTAAATGCATCTTGTATGACCTTTATCGGGTCAAACAAAAAGGGCCCATTAGTTTTCCCAGAAAGTAAGTGAAGAAACTTTTGAAACAAGTGTTTAGTTGGCCTGACAAAGTAGGTCTGTCCCATTTTCTTGACTCCTAAAATTTTCCTTTAAATGATGGTTATGTTTTCCTCACAAAACTATCTTTAATTGCAAGAAAGTTTAATGCAGATTGCAACATGGGTAAGTAGGGCCCAATAGCAATTGATTTTTAAATTATTTATGAAAAAAATATTTTCTTTAATTTTCTGTTCTTTTCTAATCTTGTTTTACTTTCTTATATTTTCTTGGCAACCAAATGAATCCACAGGATGCACAAAGCATGCATTTAATTGGAATAATAGATATTTTGTCAAGACTTACATCAGTGTCTCCACACTTTTTGTCAGGAACATTCAGCAAGTTAAGTTTATTCCTTGAATATCCAGCATCTGCAGAAAGAAAAGAAAATTAAAAGAAAAACAATTAACAGCTCCAACATTCAATATAGAATCTCAAAGGATAAAAACAAATCCACATGTAACATCAGTTCAGGTGCTAACGTTATATTAAATGTTAGCTTAACCACCATGAGCATGCTATTTCCTTAATGGCATAATACACTTTACTGTGGAGTGATATAACAGTTGGGTTAGAGTGAAAAAACGGATAGGTGATTGTTAACAGCTGTTATTTTTTCCTATGTATAGTACCACAGGGGTACTATTGTACTTTTACTCCTTTTTATTTTATTTGCTGTTGCCCTAGTATATATATTAAAAAAGCTGCGCAGCCAGCGGTATCTTTTTGCTCTCAGTTCTCTCTTCTCTCTTCTTCTCTCTCTCTTTTCTCTCTTCTTCCATTTTTCTCTCCTACATAACATGGTATCAGAGCGGGACTATCAGATCTGAAAGGAGAAGTCGAGTGAACAGTTTTCTTTCTTCTTCACACCAGATTTCCAGATCTGCTGCCCTCATCTGCCATTCGGCTGATTGAAGATCTCACACACTGAAGTAACTTTTCTCTCTCTCTCTTACCTTTTTTTCTGGTCGTGTGCCAGGGCAGAACCTGTACTAGGTCTGCCGATTGGATGTGAGGTGATCAGCACCTCTCTCTTACCTTTTTTGTGGAGTATGTCCTAGATTTACTCTAGGATACAGGAAAAATGGGAGTGAAGCCAGTTGATTCCCCTATTGATCCTAACCATAAATTAGGTGACAGCCAAGGTGAACCTATCAAGGATGTGAAACAGTTTCAGAGACTTATAGGAAGATTGTTATATCTTTCTATGACCCGCCCAAACATTGATTATGCAGTTGGTGTCCTTAGCCAGTTCATACATACCCCTATGACCACTCATCTTGAAGTAGCAGAAAGAATCCTCCGATACCTTAAAAGGTTTCAAGTGCTGGCTTGTTGTTTCAAAGGCACGGACATTTGAAAGTTTAAGTGTATACTGATGCAGATTGGGCAGGATCCCTAAATGACAGAAAGTCAACTAGTGGCTATTGTACCTTCATAGGAGGAAATCTAGTTACCTGGAGAAGCAAAAAGCAAAGTGTGGTAGCTAGATCTAGTGTTGGAGCTGAATATGGAGCAATGGCTCATGGAGTGGCTGAAATTATGTGGATAAAGAATCTGTTGAGTGAGTTGGGTTTTCCAGTGGACAGACCTATCCTATTCTGTGATAACAAAGCAGCCATAAACATTGCTGCTAACCCTGTACTACATGATAGAACTAAACACATCGAAGTCGACAAACATTTTATTAGAGAGAAGGTTATCACAGGGGAAGTGTGTACTCCTTATGTCAGCTCTGAGGATCAACTTGCAGACATCTTTACAAAAGGACTACACCACTCACGACATCATGATTTATGTGACAAGTTGGGCATGATTGACATCTATGTCCCAACTTGAGGGGGAGTGTTCACAGCTGTTATTTTTTCCTATATATAATACCGCAGGGGTACTATTGTACTTCTACTCCTTTTTATTTTAGTTGTTGTCGCCCTAGTATATATAGTAAAAAAGCTGTGCCGCCAGCAGTATCTTTTTGCTCTCAATTCTCTCTTCTTCTCTCTCTCTTTTCTCTCTTCTTCCATTCTTCTCTCCTGCATAACAGTGATTAATTTTCTATAACAGTTACCTTTTCGAAGACAATAAAAATGAAAATAGTTTTTCTCAATGGTGTTCTGATCTTAAAGGTGTCATTGCTATTTGCTAGCAGCTTTGGGTTTTTTTTTTTTTTGTTTGATAGATAACAGCTTTGGGATGTTACTATTTGCAAATACATTTTAACAAGGAAGCTAAATTCTTCAGGGATGCATTCAATCTTACTCCAGATAAATGAAAAGAGATCTAGGGTGCTATTGGCAGTGTGATAGCAAAGCTATCCATAAGAGAATTGGAACAACTTTGAAGTAGAGTACCTTATGAACTCAAATGCATAAAGAATGCCAGAGTTGAGACAGCATTTATATATGTTTCTTACCAGAAGCATTCCTGCTCCCACGCCTCCTATCAGATAGCAGTTTTAGAGTGAAATGACCCTGGCGGAAGTCAAAAATACTAATCAAGCCCCAAATACACCCCAACTGGTCTTTTTCACGCCGAGGACGTCGTTTTTGTGACCTTTTCGCCATATTGAATGACTATTTAACTTTACCACCTGGTGTTGAGCCAAATCGACTGCACTAACATCATCCTAATGAAGGAAAGACAAGGAGAAAATACAGTTAAAAAGTTAGCAATAACTTGTTAAAGAAAATGATGTTTTTCCAACATAAATATGCTAATATACAAAACATTGATAAAGTCCTGTGCTAGTAGAACAAAGGGATGAAGACAGAGAACCACAACTACCATAACCACAAGCATCAAAAACAGTTATAGAGACATCAATATACAGAAAAAAAAAATAACTATCAAATAATATGATTATGAGGACTTTCTAGTAAACTGGAAAGACCAAAGTTAGGCAAAGTTATAATTATACATCAAAACCAATAACATCTCCAGTATCTGCATTCTACCAAATAAGCCCAAAGGCCAGAGGACAATCAGAGAAGATAGCAGGAGAAACTGGTGCATTTTAATTACAAAACTTGAGATGTAAGCATCTCCTCAGCACTTCATCTCCCTAGCCAATCATTTTCAGAAGAGACAAAAAAATGACAAATGAGCAATTCAATTTATTGATTCACTATAAACCAAGACAATTTTCATAAAACTGGAATTTTTGGAACCAGAAATCATAGCCAGAAGGTATTGGGTCAGGCCTGAGCCAAGTCACTGAGAGTAGCAGCCTAGCAGGTCTGTATATATATATATATATATATATATATATATATATATATATATATATATAAAGATTTCTCCGATCAAGCACAAGCAAACAATTATACATTCAGTTTTTTATCACATCTCTGATTAATCATCTGGATTTCATTAACCAAATGCATAACTATTCTCTTCTCCGCAATGAAGCATGGTCATTGCAGGTACCTGGGTCTAGTCATGTGAGTGACTGAGTCACCAAGATACAACAATTCAGGCAGAAACAAAGAGGATATGAAGAAAGATTTAAAAAAAAAATAGCAAGCAAGAATTATCTTAAGTATTTTCTTTAATAAAAAATGAAAACAGAGAAAAGGGATACCTGAAATTATGAGAATTAATTTCAGTAGGTGGAAGAAGATGAAGAGAAGAAGCGGAGGGAGATATCTCTGAAGGAAGAACAACACCAAGTTCCAATTCCAGACTGCAAGCTTTCTAAGGAGGTAAAGCAATAGCAATGGATTCCAACAAAAGAATGGAATATCTCTTTCTTCTTCTGGTAAAACGGATATTCCTTCGACTGAAAGACCAAATAGGATAACTAAAGCTGCTCTGACTTCCAGGATCAAAGATAGAGAGATTACTTCAACAATTCGTCCACGCAAACTTCAATTCTAAACAGTAAATAAGTAAAAGCTTGGCAGGACCTTGCTTTACAATTTTAGCAGAATCCAGAATCTCCCTCCTCTCTGCATTTTCGGGTAATTTACGTATAAGCAAACCAATTTCAATCACTAAATTCACCTCCAATAAAGCTCATGTGGAAATCACAATTCTCAGTCCTTTAACGTCAAGTTTTCTCATCTTTCCGAGTAACAGACTGAAATCTTAAACTTCTAGTCTTCTACTACAGAAGTCAGAAGATCCTCCCAAAGCATCAATCAAGGTTTTCTTTCTTTCCTGAACTAGGAAAACGGAAGGATAATAAAAAAAAAAAACCAATTCAGGACATGTTCAGAATTCACCCCTCGTCTTCCATTTCTCAAATACAGAGCTTACTGAAAAAGAAAAGAAATCCTCATAACCAAAACTCACTTTCTGTTAAAAAAAAAATATCTTTTTGACGTGATACACCGACCAAAAAGAGAAACCCAAAAATAAAGATTGACTGTTTTTTTAAGAAGGAAAATCTAGGTGGCCGCGATTAGAGACTGTGGAAAGTGAAAGAAACAGCAGAGGAGATAGGAGGAGGAAGAAGAAGAAGAATCAAACAGAGAAATGAAAAGCAGCCAAGAAGAATAGTTGGTACTGGTGCTTTATGACGTTGCGTGGTGGGAGTAGACTCCATGAACATGACACTTGGGGCAATGACATCGACAACAAATTCAACGGCCCCCACCTTCCACTACTCTGCTCGAATCTCCTTCGCTTCATTTTCAAGAAAAATCGTCTCTGCAATTCCACGTTCGATCCATCGATTTCTGGTTTCTCTCTCACGTGTACTGGTGTTTACGCATGCACAATGCAATACCTGTCGCTTGCTGATTGGTTACTTCAAGAACTGCTTACAGCAAATCCGGATTCATCATCCATTCAAGGGAGGATGGGAATAGAATATGTGGGGAAGGACAAATCTGTCATTATCAGAATTTTTTAAGGGGTTGTGGTGGGGTCATCAGACAATAACTTTTGAGTTGAAACGTTTTAATCCGACGGTTTGGATCTAAGGAGGACGGAGGATGCCACAACCTATTTTTTTATGTTTTCCTTTTTTGGTTGAAGATGATAAACACCGTACGACTACGGAGTCTTCGGTGATTCGGTACCAAACGGAAATATTTCAATCGGATAAGTCGGTAGAATATTACCGTTTTCTCTTCTTCTCGTCATCGAGCGTCACTTCTACGTTGTTAAATGACAGAACCACCCTCGAATAATAGTAAATTCCTTCATTTCTTATTGGAATTTGATTATCAAAATGCAATATACCGGGTACGAGTTACCCGATCCAAAAGTCTCCCCCAGAAAGATCCATTCTGCAACAGATCACGGATCCCTTCTCACCACCCACCGACGAGATGACCCAAAATCCCAAATTATAAGTGGGATCCTTCTCCAATGTGAAACACGTGGTAACTATGAGGTAAAACGCTCCCTAAATCAAAGTAGGTGTTTGGCATCAATGTTTTTTTGTAAGGGCTGATATTTGGTTAGTCGTTTTTTCAAAGAATATTTGGGGTAAGTATGTGATCCATCTCAGAAATCTGAAATTATAGTCTCCTTTTAGTCTATTAGTAGTCTCTTATAAATCGTATCTTGTACGTAAATTTAACATCGATCCATGGTCAAGATTTATCCCACCTATAAGGTGGAATTAAGATTTCTAGGGATGGATTGAACAATAAAATATTTTCTCCCACTTAAAAATGAGAAAAAGGTGTGATTTGAGAGAATGCACTTTTGAATTGTTTTCTACCATTGTTAGTATATATTAATATGATATTGAAATTTGAAAAATGCCTATGTGATACCAACATCAATAATATTAAATAAAAAATCCGAAAAAACCATTTTCTGAAAAAACAAAATATTTATACAGCACCATTTTCTAAGAAAACACCTAACACCTCTCAGTAAACAGCATTGATTTCAAACATCGTTTTAATCTCACTTTTGCAGTGACACGTGTCTCAAAGATAACATGTATAATGAGTGATACATGTTCCTGCCGTACATCAGGAACATTGTTGTAGTTTAAAATATTGATATTCTCGATATATAACTGGATGCTTATGGTCAGATGTGTCGTGGTCAGCAAACTGGACTCATTTGGATGTACTCCCAACAAAACACGTTTCATCACTCTTCCAACATGATCTGACACCGTCATTTCATGATGAGATGTGCGGTGTCAGATCTAGTTGAAAGCAGGGACGGGTTTTTTTGTTAGCAATCCCAACCCATGGGAGCCCCTTTGGGATATGCATATGTCAATACTGTCGGTCACACATGTTTGGGCCGGGTAGGGTTGAAGACAAAGTGGGCTGGGCCCCCACCACTATGAAAAGAAGAAAAAACAATTAAAAAGGTAGTTAGGACCACACGCACTACCAACTCTAAATCCCTGATGGGAATCCGTTTTCTGATAAGAAGAGAAAGAAAAGGTAGGAAGGACTAAGGAGGATCAGATATTAGATACGCTATTTGGTTTCCCAACGGTTGTACTCTTAATACTGGGCAAATCAGGGTGCGCCATGTCAACTTCATAGAGTGGGGCTCACATATAGGGCTGACATGGCATATTGTGATTGGCCAACTAACCTCCAGTTCACCGTAGAAGATTCTGAAACACTCCAGTCCAGTGTATTGTTCTATCCGGTCTGCTTTTAGTAAGGTGTAGCTAGCTATCCGGCTATCCCTATCAGATAAAATTCTCTGTTAATTAGTTCCATGATATTCCATCATCCATACCCGTCGGTTTCGCCCTTACAATCTGACGAGTCTGTGAAGCTTCAGAGTTACTTCCTCTTTTTTGCCTCTGCATGCCAGAGGTCTGGTAAAGGTTGGTACATGTATGAATAATACTTATAGTTGGGTGGGCATTTTTCTTGCCCGACCCGACCCGTTACTAGGGACAACAGTCAAATGGGATCTACTATAGTTAAAAAAAGCTGAATTAATGAGATGGTACTGAGTAGCATACATAGAGTTGGATTAGGAGGCTTCTTGTTGTCTCCTTCCTTGTAATCTTGTTGAAAGTCTTTTGCTGAAAACCTTGGCATCTCTTAACTACAACATTTGGAAAACTGAAAAGGATGTGCTCCAGTCTCCATCTCCCCCAACTAATCCAAATTAAATAAATAGCCCATTACATCAATATGACAAACACCAACCATTTTCTACTCTCTCCAGCTCCCTAATTTGTCTTCTTTCTTTAATTTACAAAGAAGAGAGAGAGAGAATTGTGCAGGGAAAACCCTAGGCAGCTTTTATTTGCTTGCCCTTGAAGTTAGAAGAAATAAAAGAGATGGGAGGTGGGGGGGTAGGGAGGAGTGTTCACCTTATACCAAGGCACTCATTGCAATGCAATCATATAGTTCCAAACCCACCTAGGCTAGCTATGGTCCTCTGAGACTGTTCACCTTATCCCTCTTTTTAAGCCTTGTCTCCAAAGGCAAGAACATTTTGACCTAAGCTTTTAGCCACATTCAAGGGGTACTCACCTAATCTTATTAAATGGAGCTTGGACCTAAACCATGAAACTTTTTAATTATGGTAGGGTCTGGTTAATTAAAGGGTTGGTTAGAGGACAAGCTCTGCCTTAACTGCCAATTTGGTGCAACCATGCTAGCTATGGATGAACTAACAATCCTACTTACTACAATTATTAGAGAGAGAGAGAGATGGGTTTGTCCTCTAGCAAAGGAAAGGGAGATTTTAATAGTAATGCTTATACATTGATGAAGAGGTAGTAAGTACAAACAGTTTTTTGTTAAATGTCCGTTTTCATAAGAGTGTCCATCAATAGAAATAATCATGAATCATGTAACGATTTCAAACTCAAAAAATTGACCTCACCGGCTGCTTTACTGATTCATATGGGTGTGGTACGTTTGCTTTTTCTAGCTTTTCTTTTCCTACTTGTTGATGGGTTGGTAGGTTGGCCAATCGCTCCAAGGGAGCTAGGAAGGTTTTGATGTTCCATTGCTCTCACGTCTCACCCCTTTTTTTCTTCTGATCAGCATCGGATGCTCTCTCTTTTGGACAAACAAAAGTGATCTTTGAAATCTTTGTAAACCCATATCCATCATAAGAGAGGAACGAAAAGCTCTCCCTAGCCAAAAAGCAATTCTAATTATGTGTAGAGGATCTACTTTAATCCCCATTACTGATGAGTTTTAAGGACTTTTTGAGCGGTGGAACCATGAATCATTGCAAAGCATAACATGAATTTCTGAGAAAAAGTGAAGAAACTGATCATGGGCTTAGCTGCAATTGACTTGGATCCTTATAATTAAGGTATCGTTTAATTGAAAGATCTTCTGTCAGACCTAACAGCCAAAAGACAATGTGAGTTTTTGCATTAAGAACTTAGCAGATTAAAGACTGTTTGGTTAAGACATGTTTTCCTGTGTGAAGATGCAACAAAAAAAGTTGAAAAGCTCCATTTTAAGTTTTTCGAAAATAACCCAAAAATGACCTTTGTATATCTTTTTGGGGCATCTTCTTTTGACAACTAGTTACATCTTTTTCCCGATCAAACAGAAAAAAAAAACAAATCGTACATAGATTATTGGGCTTCTAAACAAATAACAACTTGCGAAAAGACATGCCAAACGAGAACAAGGTTTAGCTGTTCAGCGGGCTGTAGAACCAATGATAAGGTTCCACTTCAGCTAATCTGAATTCGCCAAACGGAGCCTAATCTAATGGTCAATTTCATCTGGGCTTAGTGGGGTCCCCCACCAGTGAGTGGTGACCACCTAACTAGCTAATTACAGAAGAGACAAGCTTAATTGAAAATTGATTTGGTTAATCGTTGAGATTAGTCCTCCTTAATTTATGCTTTAACCTCTCCAATAAGACAACACAGCCGTCCCTTGGCAAAGAATAAACAAGGTGTTTGGCATGTCGTAAAGAATGAAAAAGCAGTGTGTCGCATTATTTTATTTGGAGGTGATTTGATAAGCAACCTTAAACAAAGAAGATGACTTTGAAACAGTGTTCTTATATATGAAAATCGGTTTCAAAACAGAAATCTTGATTGGAGCAGTTGCCGTCACAGCATCTTTCATATGGATACAATGGCCCAACTTGCTTGAAATATTCCTGCACCAGTTCTCTCAGAACTAGCTTTTCATACAATGGTTTGCCTAGGGCTAGAATCAGCAAATAAAACAAAACACCTGAAAGCTGACACATGGTGGCTCGGCAGGGATGAACCTCAGGGCCCCATGGTCTGCACATGAGTAGGGTGACTGTATTGATATCAGAGGTCTGCTTCCAACTCGTCCACCAAAGAAGGAAAATGGAAGCCAACCATACTTAGGTCATGTTTGGGAGTTCTTAAGTTGAAAATAAGTGTTTATTTGCATTTGGCACCTAACTTTTTCAAGTGCTTATTTTTTAAAATAAGCGTTTGGTAGTTTTTCTCTCTAATAAGCACTTAAAGAAGCATTTGTGACTATTTTATCTTTTATTTTTTTCAAAATTTCAAAATATACTCTTTGAAAGTACTTTTATGAAAACACTTTTAAGAAAGTACTTTTATGAAGGCATTTTTATAAAAAACACTTTTACAAAAGCACTTTTATAAAAGTACTTTTATGAAATCACTTTATAAAATATAAAATTACTTTCTTAAAAGTGCTTTCGTAAAAGTACTTTCATAAAAGCGCTTTCACAAAAGTGCTT